TACATGACAAGCCCTTCATCCCCTGGATCATTCTTGTGAACCTACTGTGGAATACCTCCAATGCCAGCACATCCCTCCTTAGATATGAGGCCCAATACTGCTTTCAATATTCAAAATGCTGTATGACCATAGCCTTATATAGCCTCAGCAGTACATCCTGCTCTTGTATTCTTGCCCTCTCAAAATGAAAGCTGAAACTGCATCTGCATCTTAACTAAATCTGCATGTTAATCTTAAGAGAATCCTGAACTAGGATTCGAAGCCCCTTTGTGCTTCAGATTTCGGAAGCCTTTCCCCAGTTACAACACAGTCTATGCCTCTATTCTGCCTACCAAGTACATAACCTGGTACTTTCCCACATTGTATTCCATCAGCCGCTTCTTTGCCAGTCTCCTAACCTGTCTCAGTCCTTTTGCAGCCTCCCCGCTTCCACAACACTACCTGTCTGTCCACCTATATTTGGTCATCTATAAACTTAGCAACAATGCCCTCAATTCCTTCATCCAGCTTTTGAAAGTATAATGTGAATAGTTGTGGTGCCAACACTGACCACTGTGCGACTCCAGTCACCGGCTGGCATCCTGATGCATGTGTGCCTAAATCAAATGGCAAAGTAACCCGTGGAATTGAGGGAAATACTTTTATGCAGAAAATTACAATCTGGGATGCATTATGTGAGTTATGTTTGGTGAGAGAGAAATGTGAATTTTTCTAAAAGTAAACTAATAAATACTTGAACAGAAAACTAAATACATGGATTATGGAGGAGGGACAAGGAGTTATTAAGTAGAAATTGAACAGTTTCAGACGCAGTCTGCGTGTACACTTTCTAGTTTGAGTTATATTTCAACTAAACATGCACCATAAAAGCCAGCTGACTCCTTGCTGACTCTTCACAAAAGTATGAAGGAAGTTATTTTTGATCAGCCTTTGAGCTGCGTTACCACACACCTCTAGGACGGATGGGACAGGAGCCCAGACCTCTGACCCAGAGACCACTGCGCCACATGAACCATTTCACAAAACCTGCTTGCCTTTTCTTTAACTTCTAAGTATTTAGTGTTCTGTTACCTGAATTAGATGGTAACAGAGGGGAACAGGAGTAATTGGACCTGTGCTGGCTTTTTGAAAGAGCTATCCATTGGGCTGAAGAGTCCCTTTGCAGTATAGTTCTAAGAAAGCTCCAATACTAAGGAGCAGGGCCTGAGCCACTCTGAAGAAGAAGCTTGTGTCTTTAAATGTGGTAGGGAGCAGCAGACCTTACAATAAACAATAGACAGCCTGTTAAAGGAGACCAAAAAACTAGTGTCAGGAAGCAGCAATCTCCATCCAGCAAACTGACAATAGAGTCACTGTTCCTTTAAAGGAGAACCGAAAGCTGTGATTCCAGGAAGTAATGGGATCCTACATGGGATAACAAAAGTACTAGTGTTTCTTAAATAACCCATTGTACAAGGGAGATCAAAGGGACCACTTGTTTGTCTGATCTGGGAGCCCAGTGTCTTGGCTGGATGGAAAGAGAACGGATCGGTAAGTTAGTTCCATGTACTCAAACTCAGCAAAAACCATTGCCTTTATCCTAACTGGCACTGGAACCCGGTCGCACAGCACTCCCTGTGGTCACTTAACTACATTCAACATAAGAGCCAGGAGCAGGAGTAGGTCATCTGGCCCTTCGAGCCCGCCCTGCCAGTCAATAAGATCATGGATGAGCTTTTCATGGTGTCAGCTCCACTTACCCACCCTCTCACCATAACCCTTAATTCCTTTACTGTTCAAAAAATTATCTATCTTAGCTTTAAAAACATTCAATGAGGAAGCCTCAACTACTTCACTAGGCATGGAATTCCACAGATTCACAACCCTGTGGGTGAAGTTCCTCCACAATTCAGTCCTAAATTTGCTCCCCCTAAATTTGAGGCTATGCTCTCTTGTTCTATTTTCACCCGCCAGTGGAAACATCCTGCTTCCATCTTACCTATTTCCTTCCTAATTTTATGTGTTTCTAAAAGATCCCCCTCATTCTTTTAATTTTCAATGAATATAATCCCGGTCTACTCAGTCTCTCCTCATAAGCCAACCCTCTCAACTCTGGAATCAGCCTAGTGAATCTCCTCTGCACCCTCTCCAGTGTGCCAGTATGTCCTTTCTCAAGTGAGGAGACCAAAACTGCACGCAGTACTCCAAGTGTGGCCTCACCAGCTGTAACATAACCTCCCTGCTTTAAACTCAATCCCTCTAGTAATGAAGGACAAAATTCCATTTGCCTTAATTACCTGTTGCACCTGCAGACCAACCTTCTGCAATTCATGCACAAGGACACTTGGGTCCCTCTGCATAGCAGCACACTGCAATTTCTTACATTTCAAATAATAGTCCTTTTTATTGTTATTCCTACCAAAATGTATGACTTCACATTTATCAACATTGCCCACTCACTTAAACTATCTATATCCAACTGCAAGCTTTTGGAGTCCTCTGCACATTTTGCTCTGCCACTCATCTTTGTGTCTTCCGCAAACTTTGACACTACACGTAGTCCCCAATCCAAATCATCTACGTAAAATGTAAACAATTGCAGTCCCGACACTGATCCCTGAGGCACACCACTAGTCACTGATTGATTGCCAACCAGAAAAGCGCTCATTTATCCCCACTCTTCGCTTCCTGTTAGTTAACTAATCCTCTATCCATGCTAATACGTTGCTTGTAATGCCCTGCACCTTTATCTTATGGAAAAGTCTTTTGTGTGGCACCTTGTCGAATGGTTTTTGGAAGTCTCGATACACCACGTCTGCTGGGCCCCTTTGTCCACTGCACTCGTAATGTTCTCATAGAATTCCAGTAAAATAGTTAAACGTGACCTGCCCTTAATGAACCCACACTGTGCCTGCCCAAAGGGATAATTTCTGTGTAGATGTCTTGCTATTTCTACCTTGATAGATTCAAGCATTTTCCCCACTACAGAAGTTAAGCTAACAGACTTATAATTCCCCATCTTTTGTCTACCTCCTTTTTTAAACAGTGGAGTTACTTAAAGGTGGTACATAAGTACAATCAGTGTTTGAGTCAGCAGCCCCACAGTTTGGACAAGTTATGTTATTGTGTTCCATATGTACAGTCAAGCATTGTCCTGTTTGCGGACCCAGATTGTGTGATGAAGGTCCTCACTGGACCGGGAACCACAGTAAAATGAGAAGGTGAGGTTGTAGTACAGTTTTAACGTTGTGATTCTAAGGTGGTTTCGGGAGCAGTGATATCTCTGTGTGCACATTGAAGGATAGTGAGCCAAGTTTGTGAGGCCTTTTGCAAAGCCGGCAGGATCATCAATACTTTGTAGCAAAGCAAGGTTCGCATTGAGCTCTTGCTTGTCATTGGTTCTGCCTCAGAAAAGGTGCAGAAGAGCTTCACTACAATGGTACCAAAGGTGAGGAGTTTCAGTTCTGAGGCAACAGTGCAGTGGTTGATCCCAGTGAAGCAGAGAGGGTTTTTACAATGTAGATGCTGGGAGACGCGTTTCCTCAGGATGAAGTGAGAAATCTGGGAACAGAATAGTATGTCTGATAGGGCAAAGATCAGTAAAAACTCCTGACTTGGAGGTTGGTGAATCTTTGGAATTCTTCACTCTAGAGAACTTTCCATGCTCACTTGTCCAGAATTTATAGATTTTTTAAAAAAACTATATATTTCCTAATCAGTCTATTCAGCGATGTTATTACACAACACTGGAGCAGGTAGGACTTGAACGCTGGTCTCCTGATGCAAGACTTCCCCAACTTATAGATTTTTAAACTTCAGAAGATACAGAGATTAGGTGAACCTGAGTTTGCAGTTCAGCAGTAATCTTATTAGAAGGCAGCATATGTTTGAGGGCTCATAGCTCCTACTCCTACCGTTTAAAATTCCCTGAGGGAACTCCAGATTGAGATGTCTCTACAACGTGCTCAAAATTATCAAGTATGTCAAAAAAAGTAGGTAGAAAGCAATTTGTTCCATTGTGGAAGCAATGGAAATGACTGGACCTTGACTGAAGCTCAATGACAGAAATGTGGTGGGAGAATTTTCCTTTTCACTTGTGATTTGAAATGGGTTTTGTGCATGAGTGGTGGCGACAAATTCAGTATCAGCACTGTAAGTGCAGTTAGATATATCTGAGAGAGTAAATGCAGAGCTGTGGGATGGAAAAAGCAAGGCAGTGAGACAAATTGTGGAGGGGTTGAATGACCACTTGCACTGTAAAACAATAAGCAAAATCTCTTTATCTTCTCATTGTGTTTTAACACCTATTGCTTTGAACTTTTGAATTCTGCTCTTGCCTGAATTCATTTTTGCTGCTATAGCTCGATATCCAAATGTTTTTACCAAAGATTTGCGTTGTTAAGCGCCTTGGGGCGTTCTTTTTAATGTCAAAGGGCGCTGTGTAAATGCAAGTTATTTATTGTCACAGAAAATGCTGGAAATAATCAGCAGGTCTGGCAGCTTCAGTGGAGAGAGAAACCAAGTTAATGTTTCAGGTTAGTAACCTTTCATCAGAACTTGTTAGGCTATTGACTGGAAATGTGACCTCTGTTTCTCTCTTCCCCACCCTACCTTCGCTCCCCTCTGTTTTGCCCCCCCCCCTCCTCTCCCTCTCTCTCTTCCCCCCCCTCCCCCCCCCTCCCTCTCTCTCTCCCCCCCCCCCCCCCCCCTTCTCTCTCTCTCTCTTCCCACCACCCCCCAGCGTTCCCCTCTGCCCCTCTCTCTCCCTCCCCATCCCCACCCCTCCACATCCCTCCGTGGCCCCCCATGGCCTCGCTGACACCCGTGCCCCCTCTCTTTCCTTCTTTTCACCCGTCGATCCCTGCTGCAGATGCCCTGCCCAATCTGATTGTTTCCAGCATTTTGTTTTACAATTTGGATTTCCAACATCCTACGGTGTTTTTTTTTCTCCTTTTTGTTGTGAACGATGCCTGATGGTTGCCCCACCTGTTGTCACTCTATGTTCTTTGCTCTTGTTACAGAGATCTGCAGCGATTCGGTACAACTCACAGAGGTAAGTCGATTTCATGTTTCATTCATTACACCCTTCCCGTCAGCTCCTGCAACCACAGGCTGCAACCCCTTATCAGCTTAATGTCATGTTCAGGGTAGCGGAGCAGGTCCAGTTGGGCATTTTAATTTGACTTGTTGTGCTGAACCTGACAGAGCCCCAGAAAGCCCCCCAAGGTTCTATAGAGAGAGGGTCATGTGGGATGGTGCTCCAACAAGTTGCACTGATCGCTGAGATTTGCAAGGAGTTGTTCTGTAATTTGAACTCTGAGACCGCATTGGCCTGCACTGGCTGTGTGTCTGTGTGTGTGTGAGGGAGAGAGAGAGGTATGAATTGGAACGCTAGAAATGATAAGGCAACGTAATCTAAACAGTAAAATGTAAAAGGAAGTGGGGGTGGGATGCAGAGAAGTCTGAGGTCTTGCATGTACTAATCCACAAAACTGAAGGTCAAGCTGAACAGAGACAGTAGTGCCATGGCAAAACTGCTGGAATGACCAGTCCAAAGGCTTTCAGGGTCACTGTTTTCCAAATCCTACCCAGCAGCTCGTGATATTCAAATGCACTTGATTTAATTAGAATTGAAAACTGGTCGCTGTCCAGAAAACTCATTGTCAGCTTCAAATTTAAAAAAAAGTTTGGTTGACTAATGCTGTTTCGGTAAGATTTCCTTACCTTGTCTTGCCTACGTGTGACTCCAGACCCACAGCAGTGTGGTTGATTCTCACTTGCCCTCTGAAATGGCCTGGGGAGCCACTCAGTTCATGAATGTGATTCACGTTCATCTTCTTGAGCACCCAGGAACCAGCAGTGTTGCCAGTTGGAACCTAATTTCCTTGAGTGGATGTAGAGGGGGCTTCTGGTGAAATGTGCAGGGTCTTGGACGTTGAACACAAGGAAAAGGAAGCTGTCCTAAGCCAATATAAATCATTTGGATAGATCTCATGCCATCTTTCCTGACCTGGAACTTGAGAGATAATGTCAAAACCCGAGCAAGGGTAAGAAGAATGGAACCCGATGAGGGGGTTTCAGTTATTTGGAGAGACTGAAGAAGCTGAGTTCTTCACCTTGGAACAGTGGAGGCTACAAGAGATTCTAAGCATTGTTAATATTGAGGGACTCACAATGGGTCAATAGAAAGAAACCATTTCCACTGACATGAGAGTGGATATAGAAATATGGTCATTGATCAGAATAATAAGTGACAAGGAGATACCTGTTAACCACGATATGGAGATGCCTGTGTTGGACTGGACTGGGTTGGGCAAGGTCAAAAATCACACAACACCAGGTTATAGTTCAACAGGCTTATTTGAAAACACTAGCTTTGGGAGCATTGCTCCTTCACCTTGACGCCTCTCACACTGCACCTGATGTAGGAGCAATGCTCCGAGAGCTAGTGGATTCAAATAAACCTGTTAGACTATAACTTGGTATTGTGATTTTTGACTGTTTCTGTTAACAATATGGTTACTGAGTTGAAATGCATGCCTTAAAGGCTACAAGAAGCAGGATCAGGTGTCCCTTTTCTAAAGGGACCTGGATGAATATGTAAGAGAAAAATGTGTAGGGCTTGAATGGAGGGATGGCATTTGGGGCTTTATTGGACATTTCTTTCATGGAGCCAGCACATGCGCTGAGCAGCTCCCTTTCATACTATATACCTTAAAGCCAGTGCTACTCTTGAAACACTTTTCCCCCCTCAATTTCTTTCTCTTGTTCAACTCAACTTCTTTATGCTTAAGTATGATTGATGTTTGGACAAACAGTTGATGGGTTGATGGAAGTTGCAGGAGGAGAGGAGGTGATTGATAGTGGTGAGGTAATTTTCAGGGAAGGGGTCAGGCCATGCCATGGGCCTTTGCAGTGTCCTCTTTCCCTGCCTCCTGCCAGTGTTGGTAGGGTTGTTGTTGGTTTGTTCTGTCTTTTGCGGTTGGCCACAGCTGCTATTGTCCAACTGTGGTGTTGGGGCCCAGAGAGCTCATTTTCCATCCCCTTCCAGTGACTCCATCCATCGCTCGTTCACCTCATCACGCTGTTAACATTGTCACCGCTCACTGGCATAGCCACTCAGCTAGTGAGCGCCATCATGAAGGCACTGATTGTTGTGTTCAGTCTTGTGTTTTGCCATTGTTGGTTGTTGTGCTCATTCAAGGACAGCTTGAATCTGTGCTGGAGTGTGCATGGGCTGTGGACCTTGGGGGAGGGGTGTTTTGGGAGGCAGGAAAGAGAAAGGAGTGAAAGGCTGAGTGCTCCTTAATGTGGACTCAGATTAGGAATCCAGTGTCTCGTCCCCATCTATGCACACTCAAATACAGCTTCGGTCCTCTTTTAGAGGTGATGGATGATAGTGCTGGAGAATGGAACTCTGTTCAGTCTTAATTTTTTATCCTGTGCAATTCTTGAGCATTTTATTTGTCCGCTTTATTTAAGGTTTCACTGGGGCGCTTGGAAATGGGAGGGTAATTCCTTGTGCCCGGTCCTTTTTTTGTCAAAAAGTTTGCTTGCTATTTTGTAATGTGCTCCTGTTCTCCATCATGTGTCGGAATTCTTTTCAACAGCCTTCTGATGGTTCCCATGTTGTGCAGCTCTGTCCTGTTCTGTCCCCAATGCTCCTGGGAGTGCCACAGAGCTTTGCTCCTGTGTCCATTCTCTGCACTCTCAAGCCTGAGCCAGATTGCAGAATCGAGGAGCACGGCAGTTCTGTGACACGACCCTGGCAGAGCTCCCCGATTCACTTTCCTTCTTTGGAAGGGGCAGAGGGAGAGAGTCTCAGGGTGTCAGCAACGCAAGGTGCCACGTGTGACCTGGTGTGATACCATCAATCCGGGAGCCTGGGGCAATCATGGACTCTTCCTGCCCCTGGAAAGGGTCAGTGGGCTGACATTGCTGGACTTATGTGCTCTGGGCCTGCCCAGCATACCTTCTACTCTGAATTATAGTCCATTGCTGGGCAGTGGTGGGAAAATCAATTAGCAATGATGCTTTTCATCACTGAATCTGTCAGGTAGCAGAGAATTGTCGGGAGCAGGGGCTCCCACAAAAAAGCACAATTTTGGTGAACCGACGACTGTGTGTAGCTGGGGCAGTAGCCACTGGAGAGGTCTGCTGGGGGCAGAAGAATCACGTGAGATGCCGTACATAACAAAGCCAGGGTGGAAATGAGGTGGGGTATGAGGGGCAATGGGGCCAGAATAGGAGCATCAGGGGCCCACAGTGACCGTGGATATACTGTGCACAGCAGGAGCCTGTGGATCAGGTCAGATTTCAGGGCTGTGAGCTGGTAGTTGGCCGCCAAAGGATCTGGCAGATGGGTGAGGAAGGTGTGTGTCGCTGGCATGGTAATTGCTGCATCCCCCATTGAGAGCTCGCGTCCTGTCGTAGAGCCTCACTGGGAGCTCACGTCCTGTCGTAGAGCCTCTCTGGGAGCGTTATTATAAGGCAAAAGGGAAATTGACAGATTACCAGAACAGAAACAGTAAACTTGGTTAAAGCGTTAGGTCTTAAGACGGGACTGAAATGAAATTAGTAAGGTTCGCTGAGGGAATCCCCGAGTTTTGGATATTGGCAGGGTATTAAGCCATGGATTGATTGGGCAGAGATCGGAGGGGTTCAGGACTGGATGTATTCCGTACAAGGCAGAAGGGGCAGGAGCGACGTTGGTGGATGAGTTGGTCCCTCTTTTGAGTTTTACATGGTTCCTGGTGGAGCCCATTGGCCGAGGGTCTGGATGTTGAACTCCTCCTGTGCCTGCTGGATGGAGCATTACTGGGATTGATGGTATCACACCAGATACTGCCCCTCAGGAAGCTGGCATTTCCTGGTTGTAGGGGGGGAGAGAGTGGGTGTGTGTGGGGGGCCACACCCCCCCCCAAGAGTGCCGGCGCGGTGACCTCGAGTTCTTGTTCTCCTCCGCAGAAAACGGTGAGGGCCCAGTGTGCCGGCTGGACCTGCGTACCTGCAGCGAGGCCCTGGGGGAGCTGGTGGGCTGGGCACACAGCCACTGCCGGGGCTGCCCCCACCTGCCCAGCCTGAGGTACCTGCCAGCCAGTGGCACCACCCCTGCCGTGGCTATCTGGGCCTGCAGGGCCGGCCACACCTACCGCTGGCGAGCGGCAGGGCACCACCCGCGACGGAGAAGGCACCAGCGGCATCGCCGCCAGGACACGGAGGCCGCAGGGTCCCCGGCGCCGGTGACGACGACCTCGGATTCCCAGGAGGAGGCGGAAGGTGGCCCAAGTCCGGAGCTGGAGACGGAGCGTGGTCTGGACTTGGAGGAGGCAGAGGGACAGAGCGATGGGGGCCCTGAGTCCCACTCCGTTGCCTCCCTGCGGATCGTGGAGTGTGAGTTGGAGGAGCAGGGCCCTGGAAGCAGAGGACCCAGGCCTGGCTGGAAGGTGATCCCATGTAAGGACGAGCATTCGGACGAAGAGGTGCCCGATGAAGGACTTGATCCAAGTACGTTTCCTGCTCACTTGTCCCCTCCACCACCCTTCCTCATTCCCCCGCCCACCCAGCACAGGCCAAGTTACAATTTATCCGAGAGTGTGGAATCCCTTCCCCGCCCATTTTTTTTCAAACGACTTATCCGCTGGCTCCGTTTAGCTACCTTTTTAGTTCTTTTGAGGAGCCCAGTTTAAAAATAACCAACAGCAAAGCTTTCGTCTTAAACAGGATCAAAGGCTAGTTCACTGCATAGCTGCTGCATGAAGTCACTAAGTCATATTTATTAACTAAAAGTACTGACAAGCTTGAAAGTAAGTACAGATAAAAACTGCTAAAAAGATGGAAGTTAGGTCTGTCTGTTGCAGGCCTGGCTTACTTGAAGATTTCTCTTTCCAAATAGAATGGATTGAAATTTTGAAGCCACAGTTCAGCAGTTGCAATGGCTTTTGCAGTGCAGTGATTGAAGTTTTCTCCCACATCTGAACTGAGCAGAACAGGTTCTTGGGAGGGAGTGAGGAATCCCTTTATGTTGTTTTTAGGGCACTGTAGGGCTTTGCCTTTGGAGCCTGGTTCAGCACAATGGTCCGTAATCTGTTTGCCTCACTCTGAAAATGTCCCCTTCATCTGTCTTAGTTGGCCAGAATTTATGAAGAAGGGTCACTGAAACTGAAACATTAACTCTGCTTTCTCTCCACAGATGTTTCCAGACCTGCTGAGTTTTTCCAGCAATTTCTGATTTGGATGTCCGTGCAGTCTTCTGTTCCGTTCAGAAACTTTGAATTGTCTCATTTCCTTGTCTAATGGTTAATGGAATTCTAAATATTTCCTTTTGTGAATGATGCTGCAAGAACACATCAGTGTGGCTGCTTTTTCGGCTGTAGTGTATGAGCAAGAACAGTCACGTGAATTTTGGAATTCTTCTCCTAAGATGTTACTTCAGGTTTAAAGTCAGATTAGCCACCACTTTTAAATAAAACATATACCACAATTGTTCAGTCCTGATAACCCTACCTGCAAAATTTTAGTGCTGTTTGCAACGATAATCATGAAACTCTTGGGTCCCAGCAGTGGGAATGACGCAAGAAAGTGGTGTGAAGTATTATCAGATCATCCATAATCTCATTGAATGGCAGAACAAACTCTCTAGGCTGAATGGTCTACTTGTGCTCCTATGTCTTTTAGTCTAAATTTAAAAGGATGTAGACAGTTCGATAGCACAATAAGACAAATGGCGAATTAAATTTAATTCCGAGAATTACGAAATGATTCATCTTGTGGGAAAGATAAAATGTAAAGGTAAAGTTTTAATATATATGCAAAAACCATTGAAGGTGTCAAGATAGCTGCTACTGAGTATAGCCCAAAAGCAAGGAGTTCAACCGATATAAAACAGCAGTTTGGTTTTACCTGAAGTATTGCATCCTATTGTTGGCTGGGAATAATGTGAAGGCTTTAGAGAGATGCCAAACAAATTCACAAGAACGGTTTCAGAGGCGAATAACTTCAGTCACAAACGAGAAGTTAGGACTGTTCTCCTTCGAGAATAAGTGGTTGAGAAGAGATTTGATAAGAGGCATTCAAAATCATGAGTCGTCTGGACAGATTAGATAGGGAGAAAATGTTCCTAATGGCAGAAGAATGGAGAATCTGAGGGCACCAATTTAAGGTCATTGGCAAAAGATGCAGTAGAGATGTGAAGAAAATTTTTTCATGCAGCAAGTGGCTTTGAGCTTGTTGGAGGCAGGTTCAGATGAGGAATTAAGAGGGAACTGGATTACTCTGTAAAAAGAGGGCATGGTTAGTCAGTTTGCAGATGACACCAAAATTTGTCATCTAGTGGACAGCCAAGAGGTTACCTCAGAGTACAACGGGATCTTGACTAGATGGCCCAATGGGCTAGGAAGTGGCACATTGAGTGTAATTTAGATAATTGTGAGGTGCTGCATTTTGGTAAGCAAATCAAGGCAGGATGTATGCACTTAATGGTATGGCGCTGGAGAATGTTGCTGAACAAAGATTTTGGAGTGCAGGTTCATAGTTCCTTGAAAGTAGAGCTGCAGGTAGGTAGGATAGTGAAGAAGGCGTTTGATATACTTGCCTTTACTGGTCAGTGCAAAGAGTAATAGGAGTTGGGAGGTCATGTTGCAGCTGTTTAGGACATTGGTTAAGCCACTTTTCGAATACTGCGTTCAGTTCTGGCCTCCCTGCTGTAGGAAGGTTGTGGTGAAACTTGAAAGGTTTCGGAAAAGATTTACAAGGATGTTGCCAGGGTTGGAGGGTTTGAGCTATAAAGAGAGGTTGAATAGGCTGGGGGTATTTTCCATGGGCCATGGATAGGATGAATGGTCAAGGTCTTTTCCAAAGGTAGGGGAGTCCAAAACTAGAGGGCATAGATTTAAGGTGAGAGGGAAAAGATTTAAAAGATACCTAAGCAGCAACTTTTTCACAGAGGGTAGTACATGTATGGAATGAGGTACCAGAGGAAGTGGTGGAGGCTGATATGATTAAAGCATTTATCTGGATGGGTATGTGAATAGGAAGAGTTTAAAAGGCTATGAGCTAAATGCTTGCAAATGGGACTAGATTAATTTAGGACATCTCATCAGCATGGACAATTTGGACTGAAGGGTCTGTTTCCGTGCTGTACAGCTCTGTGAACCTCTGCAACTCGAAAGGAGGAAGAAGGAGAGTTATTGGGAGAAGCTAGGTGAATGGTGCTTGGTAAGTTGCTCCTTCAGAGATCTAATACACTCTTGAAGCGGCAATTCGACCTCCTGTGCTGTAACCATTATGATGTGGCTCATCTGAACTTTCCTGTCCTGACAGATTAAGTTAGTATATTGTGCAAAAATGGGTGGCACAAAATGAACAAAACGTAAATTACGAGGAATAAAGTTAGAGTACAAAAAGAAAAGCTAGCCTGAAATATAAAAACAGAATCATAGAATGCCTAGTGTGGAAACAGACCATTCTGTCCGTTTAGTCCACACTAACTGTGCGTTGGGCATCCCACCCAGACCTACCCCTGTAACCCTGCATTTCCTGTGGCTAAGCCACCTAGCCTGCATGTCCTTGGACACTGGGCAATTTAGCATGGCCAGTCCACCTAACCTACACAACTTTGGATTAGGGAGTAAATGAGCGAACCCAGAGGAAACTCAAGTTGACACAGGGAGAAGGTGCAAACTCCACATACAATCATCTAAGAGTGGAATTGAACCTGGGTCCCTGGCACTATGAGGCAGCAGTGCTAACCACAGAGCCACCATGCCGCCCTGTTTGATGGTAAGAGTTTCCTATAAATATTAAAGGAGAAGAGTTTGTGGAAGCGAGTGTTCGTTCCAAAGATAAACACTGAGACTTAATGGAAAATAAGAAAATGGCAGATGAATGGGACAGGTATTTTGTATCGGTCTTCACTATAGAAGCATCCCAGAAGCAGCAAAAACTAAGAAAAAGAACTGGGGGTGAATTACAGTCACCAAAGAGTATCACTGGGTAAATTGCTAGAAGCGAGAGCTGATGAGTGCCTGGATTCTAATGCACTTCATCCTAGGGTCTCAAAAGAAGTGATTAGTGAGATCGTTGATGCATTGGCTTTAATTTTCCAAGCTCCCTTATTACTGGAATGGTCCCATTAGTTTGGAAGATAGCAAATGCAACCCTTTGAATCAAAAAGGGAGGGAAACAGAAAGCAGGAACTATAGGTCAGTTACTTTAACATCTGTCAGAGGGAAATTGTTGAAAGCAGTTCTGAAAGGAGTTATGGCAGGGCACTTGGATAATTTGAATAATGCAATCAGGCAGAGTCAATGTGACTCTCTGAAATGGAAATCATGTTTGATCATTCTTTTGAAAATCTTTGGAAAGGACATGTGTGATGTGGATGTACTGTGCTTAGATTTTCAGAAGGCATTTAATAACATGCCACATCTAAGGGCTGCTTTGGCGCAGTGGCAACATTACTGTCTCTGGGCCAGAAGGCCTGGGTTCAAGTCCCACCTGCTCTTGATGTTTCATCTGAATAGCATTCCTCACCAAACTATAGGAAGGTTAGAGGAGCTTTGGGCAGGAGGCAGAAGAGGTTTACCACGCTGTTGCTTGGATTGATACGAAGTAGCCATAAGGAAACGTTGGACAAACTTGGATTGTTTTTGCTACAGCGTTGGAAGCTGAGGGGCGACCTGATAGAAGTATGTAAAATTGAGGGGCATGGATAGTCGGAGTCTCTTTCCCGGGGTGGAAATGTCAAATACTAGGCGGCATAGGTTTAAGGTGAGAGGGAGAAAGTTTTAAGGAGATGTGTGAGGAACGTTTTCCTCACAGAAGTTAGTGCTTGGAACGCACTGCCGGGGGAGATGGTAGAAGCGGATACGATAGTTACATTAAAAAGGCATTCAGACAAACCCATGAACTGGCAAGGAATAAAGGGATTGGCCCTGTGCAGGCAGATGGGATTAGTTTGGAATGGCTTCATGGTCGGCACAGACCTGGTGGCCTGGGACAGAAGGTATGTATGCCAAAATGCTGCTGAGACGAAGATCAATTTGAAAGTAAGTTATGGGGAGGACATAAAGCTCCAAAATGTTTTACATGGATTTCGTGAGTGGGCAAAAGTGTGGCAAATGGAGTGTAATGTGGGAAAATGTAACCATCCAATTGGAAAAAAGAATAAAAATTAACTAAATGGTGAGGGATGCAGAGCTCTGAGATGCAAAGGGATCTGGGTGTCCTCATGTATGAATTACAGAAGATTGGTGTGTAGGTACAGCAAGTAATTCGGAAAACTAATAGAATTGAATACAAAAGTAGAAATGATCTGCTTCATTTATACAGAGCACCAGTGAGACTACAACTGAGTAATGTGTGCAGCATTAATTAAGGAATAATGTATATGCGTTGAAACAAGTCAGATAAAGTTTGCCAAACTGATACCTGGAATTGTCTTAAGAGGGAAAAATTGGAGATGACTTGATGGAGGCTTCCAAAGTCATGTTGTTGACAGCGTAGATGAATACTTCCTCTTTTATGCGAAGAACTAGAGCTTGTTGTCACTGTTTAGAAATCAGACATTGCCCATTTAATACAGAGATGAGGCACTGTTTTTCAGGGTCTTGAGTCTTTGGAGCTTCTTTCCTGAAGATGAGATGAAAGCAGAGTCCTTGAATGTTTTTAATGCAGAGGTAGACATGTTTTGATTAGCAACAGGAGGAGAGGTGGGAATATGGATTTGAGGTTACGACCAAGGGGCTGAATGGCCGACCATCTTTTTTGATGTATGGTTGTACATATTTTGCCTACCTGTCATTGTCACTAGCTCAACTGGTGCAGAGGTCCCATAACAAAACATCAGAGACACTAGAAATCTTAAAAGGGAAAAAAAATCTGTAAACCTGTCAGCAGAAATGTCCGACAGCACCTGGTAATGTGGCCAGAGGGTGGTGCAATTTCTGTTCGTTCACCTCCTGTAATGAGTGATGAATTGGAGAACAGCAGTACTGAGGCAGTTACTGCAGCATTATCAGCAGTTCAGTGTTAAGTGCCTGTACCTCACAGCTGATGCAGTACTTATCAAAAGTTACAGGTCAGAAAACAGCCACTCAGCCAAGTCGGTCATTGCAAGCAGTGCAAAGCGACCCAGCACTGATCTCCCTATAAAACTGACCATTTATTTCGCCGCATCTCACTGTTTACCCTGACCTTCTCTGCACTCTGGCCTACTCTGGCTCCCAGTGGGACATGGAGTAGAACTGTCTGGCATGCTCTCGCTCATTCATACTGTCAAACACTCCCTTCCGTTTTTCTCTCTCTTTCCCTGTCTAGCATTCTTTCCTCCCCTCACGATATCTTCATTCTTGTCTCTCTCGCACTCTCGTACACTTAGTACATTCCCGCATAATTTATCTGTCCATCTCCCCTTCTGTCTGGGTATATCAGCTATGGCTCAGTAGTCAGCATTCACCTCTAAACCATGTGGTTCTGTATTCAAGTTCCACTCTGGGCTTTGAGCATAAAAGTGACTTTTTACACTCCAGAGCTGTATTGCATTGTCGAAGCAGTAAACGGAGGCTTGGTCTGCCTATTTGGGTGGATATAAAATTTCTTGGCACTAGTTCAAGGAAAACCAGCATTATCCCCAGTATCCGAAACAATACTTCTACCTCAGTCATGATTCAAAAAAAAATATTGGACCATTAACACATCACTGTTTGCGGAAACTTGCTGAGCACTTTGCCTACGTTATAGGACTTCATTAATTGTGAAAGGCTTTGAATAGCCTGGTGAACTTAATTGCAAGTAGTTTTCTTCTGTTGTTCTTTCTCTGTTCTTCTTCCCTTTCCCCTCTCCACTGTCTCTTTCTCACTCATAATTGTGCTCTCTATCAAGCAGACTCCTCTATCTCCCTCCTGCTCCTCATCTGTCCATCTCACTCCTTGTCCCCATTTGTCTCCTCTCTTTTCTACTGTCTCAACAGTTTTTGTTTGCCAAAGTCTTCCTCTCTCACGTGCTGGTGTTTTTGATCTTCCTCTCTTCTGATTTGTCATTTTGCATCTTTCTCTTCTGTTCTGTCTCTACCCCCGTCATGTTCTTCCTGCTTCCTTTGCTGTCTCTTCCTCTCAGTTCCTCCATCTTCTCCCAGTCTCCCTGTTTGTGTTTTTTTTTCCTTCCTCTCCCTCTACAGTCTGTTACTCTCTGACAACCTGTCTCTTTCTCTTCGCTCATTTCAGTCGAGCCTATGCCAGAGCTTCCAGTGCTGAAGACTGCCCCTGTGGTTTTGATGAAGACTAAATTGGGCCGAGGGCGATGGAGGGCCAAGAGCACGTGTGAAGAGCCAGAGTCCGACCCCACCTCGGAACCGCAATGGGAGTCCCACTACTGGGAGAAGGCCTCACCCTCTGCATATACTGTCCCAGAAATTCACACACACATGGTCAACAGCCCGGAGCTGTCCAGAGAACGTCCGGCTGAGACACAGCCAGACACGGAGACAGAGACAATGCAGCTCATTTGCGAGTCGGTGCCAGACCCTGACCAGAAGGACGAGAGTATCTCCCTGGCTGGTGAGTACAGCTGGTAATGAAGGCATTTGGCACACTTGCCTTCATTGGTCAGAACATTGAGTATAGGAGTTGGAACGTCATGTTGCGCTGTTTAGAACATTGGTTTTGGCGTACTGTGTACAGTTTTGGTCACCCCGCTGTACGAAGATGTTAAATTATTATTAAATTGGAAAGAATGCAGAAAAAAAATTTACTAGGGTATTACTGGGACAGGAGGGTTTGAGTTATAAGGAGAGGCTGAATAGACTAGGGCTTTTTTCATTGGAGCATAGGAGGTTGAGGGGTGACCTTATGAAGGTTTATAAAATCATGAGAGGCATAGGTAAGGTGAATAGCCAGGATCTTTTTCCTAGGGTAGGGGAGTTCAAAACTAAAGGGCATAGGTTTAAGGTGAGAGAGGAAGGATTTAAAAGGGTTGTGAGGGGGGCAACTTATTCCACACAGGGTAGTGTGCGTATTGAATGAGCTACTAGAGGAAGTGGTAGAGGGGGTTACAGTTGCAACATCCAAAAGACATTTGGGCAGGAATATGACAAGGAAAGGTTTAGAGGGACACGGGCCAAATGCAGGCAAATGGGACTAGTTTATGTAAGTAATGGGCCGGAGGCAGGGCTGGCTCAGACTGAAGTATGCAGAACAGCAGACATTGTGCTTCACTGTAAACAGGGTTTCAGCCCTTCAAACTGTGTAGCACGAGCATGGCTGTTGTTCTACTTCACCATTTTCTTGCTCTGTCCAGGCATATCTTGAATTTTTTTGAATATGTAGAAATCTGTTGAGTCTTGGCAGTTTAGAATAGATCACAGTAGTATGATTTTGGAGTCATGTAGGTTAGACAGATATGGATACTGGTGACAGATATGGATACTGGTAGCAGATTCCTTAGAGAACATAGAACATTACAGTGCAGTACAGGCCCTTCAGCCCTCGATATTGCGCCGACCTGTGAAACCAATCTGAAGCCCATCCAACCTAAACTATTCTATTATCATCCATATGTTTATCCAATGACCATTTAAATGCCCTTAAAGTTGGCGAGTCTACTACTTTTGCAGGCAGGGCATTCCACGCCCTTACTACTCTCTGAGTAAAGAACCTACCTCTGACATCTGTCCTAAATCTATCACCCCTCAATTTAAAGCTATGTCCCCACGTGCTAGCCATCACCATCCGAGGAAAAAGGCTCCCACTGTCCACCCTATCTAATCCTCTGATCATCTTGTGTGTCTCTATTAAGTCACCTCTTAACCTTCTTCTCTCTAACGAAAACAGCCTCAAGTCCCTCAGCCTTTCCTCATAAGACCTTCCCTCCATACCAGGCAACATCCTGGTAAATCTCCTCTGCACCCTTTCCAATGCTTCCACATCCTTCCTATAATGCGGTGACCAGAACTGTACGCAATACTCCAAGTGCGGCCGCACCAGAGTTTTGTACAGCTGCAACATGACCTCATGGCTCCGAAACTCAATCCCTGTACCAATAAAACCTAACACACCATACGCCTTCTTAACAATGCTGTCAACCTGGGTGGCAACTTTCAGTGATCTATGCACATGGACACTGAGATCTCTCTGCTCATCCACACTACCAAGAATCTTACCATTAGCCCAGTACTCTCTATTCCTGTTACTCCTTCCAAAGTGAATCACCTCACACTTCTCCGCATTAAACTCCATTTGCCACCTCTCAGCCCAGCTTTGCAGCTTATCTATGCCCCTCTGTAACCTGCAACATCCTTCCGCACTATCCACAACTCCACCGACTTTGGTGTCATCCGCAAATTTACTAACCCATCCTTCTACGCCCTCATCCAGGTCATTTATAAAAATGACAAACAGCAGTGGCCCCAAAACAGATCCTTGACGTACACCACTAGTAACTGAACTCCAGGATGAACATTTCCCATCAACCACCACCCTCTGTCTTCTTACAGCTAGCCAATTTCTGATCCAAACCGCTAAATCACCCTCAATCCCATGCCTCTGTATTTTCTGCAATAGCCTACCATGGGGAACCTTATCAAACGCTTTACTGAAATCCATATACACCACATCAACCGCTTTACCCTCATCCACCTGTTTGGTCACCTTCTCAAAGAACTCAGTAAGGTTTGTGAGGCACGACCTACCCTTCACAAAACCGTGTTGACTATCCCTAATCAAATTATTCCTTTCTAGATGATTATAAATCCTATTTCTTATAATCCTTTCCAACACTTTACCCACAACCGAAGTAAGGCTCACTGGTCTATAATTACCAGGGTTGTTTCTGCTCCTCTTCTTGAACAAGGGGACAACATTAGTGACTCATATTCATAAGAGATGGAAAGCATGGAAACAGACCCTTCGGTCCAACTTGTCCATGCCAACTAGATATCCTAGATTAATCCTGTCCAGTTTGCCAGCATTTGGTCCATATCCCTGTAAACCCTTCCTATTCATGTACCCATCCAGATGCCTTTCAAATGTAATTGTACCAGCTTCCTCCACTTCCTCTAGCAGCTTGTTTCATACATCCCACCGTCTGTGTGAAAAAGTTGTCCCTTAGGTCTCTTTTAAACCTTTCCCCTCTCACCTTGTGACATCTAGTTTTCGACTCCCCTGAACCGGGAAAAGACTTTGGCTGTTCACTCTATCCGTGCCCCTCAGCCTCCAACACTCCAGGGAAAATAGCCCCAGCCTATTCAGCCTCTTTCTATAACTCAAACCCTTCACCCTGGCAACATCTTTGTAAATCTTTTCTGAACCCTTTCAGTTTTACATATTTTCTGTAACTGGGAGTTTTTAAACTAATCAATGATGGTTTCATCATTACCATGAATGGTTCTAGCTTTTATTTCTAGATTTATCAATTAACTAGGGGAGGCAATGACGTAGTGGTATTGTCATTGAATTGTTAATCCAGAGACAAAAACACAGTTGCTGGAAAAGTTCAGCAGGTCCGGCAGCATTTGTGAAGAAAAAAAAACAGAGTTAACATTTCAGGTCCGGTGACCCTTTCTCAGAGGTGGAGGAAGGGTCACTGGACCCGAAATGTTAACTGTTTTTTTTCCTTCACAGATGCTGCCAGACCTGCTGAGCTTTTCCAGCAACTTTGTTTTTGTTTCTGATTTACAGCATCCACAGTTCTTTCGGCTTTTATTTTGTTAATCCAGAACCTAGATTCGAATCCGGCCATGGCCGATGGTGGAATTTGAATTCAGTTTTTTTTTAAAAATCTGGAATTAAGACTCTAATGACGACCACAAATCCATTGTCGATTGTTGCAAGAATCTATCTGGTTCAGTAATGTGCTTCAGGGAAGGAAACTGCCATCCTTATCTGGCGTAAATGTAACTCCAGGCCAACAACAATGTGTTTGACACTTAACTGCCCTTTGGGGCACTTAGGAATGGGCATTAAATGCTGGCCTGGCCAGCAAAGCCCTCATCACATGAATTAATTTGAAAAATTCAGATCCCACAATTATCGTGGGATTTGGCCCCAGAGTATTAGCTTGGGACTTACGAGTACAGTTTCAGTGATAATATACCATCATTTCCCCCGGAGATGATCACTTTTCAATTTGCTTGTTCGTGTTTGTTAATTCGATGCCGAGCTCCTCATGCTGCCTAGGCAGCAACTTTTTCATTTGTTGTTGATTTCTACATGGATCATGACGATTGGATGCTTGTTGTCCCAATGGACGTGCCTCTCCATCATCGTTTGCCAATATTCTGAACTCTGACACTGGCAGGCAGTAGAGCTTTTTGGATTCTCACTGTCCCACTACCACATTCCCCTTCATTCGACCCACTTAAATTGCTCCCTGTACCATGGTGCTATGGTCAATCTGCTGCTCCACAATATAACCCTCTGTCTCATCCAGACAAGGTGCTGGGCAGCTGTAAGGGCTGAGGTTCAATTTCTTCTCCCTCTTACCTGTCTGATTCACAAGCACGTGATCATGGAATAGATGAGACAATGGTAACCTAAGGGTGTGTGACAGCCTTCTAGAATGCAGTGACTGGGTGACTTGTCCCCTTCCTGATGTAACATAATATTTGTAGCTCTGTTTCCAACTTAAAGTCTCTGAGCTAATGCTCCTTAAGCCATTTCTTGCAAACAGTACCCTGTGGTCACCCGAGGTTGCTGTGGATCCAGGAACTCCCACATGCTATACTCATGACTCATCATCTCAAGTGCCAACTTTATTCTGTTAATTATTTCTTCGATTAATTTGCAGCTCCGCTCCTCGCCTAACTCCCAGTTTCACACTCAGCAAGCTCGAGAATCATCGAGAAGCCCTTGTATTTATAAGTATTTTGAATCGACTTGTTTAAACACTTCCAGAGCATGTTGGACTTGAACTCTGACCTTCTGGCCCAGAGGAAGGGACTCTACTATTGTGCCACAGGACCCCTACCCCCGTACTTATATACTTTTGAAAACCAGTGCTTCAACTTTGCTAAAGCAGAGAAACCTGCTTAAACTAGTTCACTGTCTTGTTAGAGCTGTTGTCAGAGAGCTTATGCAACATTCTGGTTTGATCCTGGAAGAAAGTCAACATCTTTTAACAAATTTTAAACAAAAATCAGGCAAGAATTAGATTTACCCTTGAGATAACACTCCACCCAATCTGGGCTTCATACGCTCTGCGATTGCCTTACTATTTACTTAAAAAGATTTCATCAATACCAAGGCTCAGGTTTCAGGAGTCACCATTGACTAGCAATGTAACTGAACTAATTGCACGTTATTCATGAGCTCCCCCTTTAATCCTGCTTCCAGTTATTATAAATCAATGCCCTCTGAATTTTGACCTCCATGTAATTTTGTATGAAACTGTTAAATTTCCCTACCTCATTTAACCTGTCATAGCTCTGTAAATTGTTTGAATCCCTCTTGCAATATGCCTCTCCACCTATTTTTGTGTCCTGTGCAAATGTGGCCATGGTACATTTGTTTCCTTCCTCCAAGTCATTAATATAGATTATAAACAGTTGCAGTCTCAGCACTGATGGCTGTGGAAACCCAGCGGTTACAGGTTGTCAACCTGAAAAAGAGCTCCTTGTTGTTTCCTGCCCATTAGCCAATTTCTTGATCCATGCCATTATCCTGCCTCTGTATCTGTGGGCTCTTACCTTATGAGTTACCTTTTGTGAAACATCTTGTCAAATTTCTTCTGGAAGTCCAAGTACAGCATGTCTGCCAGTTTCTCTGTCTTCACTCGGGTTGAGAGTTCCTCTAATATCTCAACTAATTTTTTTTTTCTTTATTCATTCACAGGATGAGGGCGTCGCTGGCTAGGCAGCATTTATTGCCCATCCCTAATTGCCCAGAGGGCAGTTAAAAGTCAACCACATTGCTGTGGGGCTGGAGTCACATGTAGGTCAGATCAGGTAAGGATGGCAGATTTCCTTTCCTAAAGGATATGAGTGAACCAGATGGATTTTTCCAACAATCGACAATGGATTCATGGTCATCATTCGATCCTTAATTCCAGATATTTTATTGAATTCAAATTCTACCATCTGCTGTGGTGGGATTCAAACCCGAGTCCCCAGAACATTATCTGGGTCTCTGGCTTAACAATCCAGCGATAATACCACTAGGCCATCACCTAGTCATTGGTCAGACATGATTTCCCTTTCACAAAGCCATGCTGATGATGCTTGATGAAATGATTTTCCAAGTGTTATTACTTCCTTAATTCATTCCAATACTTTTCCAATAGTAAATGTTTGACTAATTGGCATATATTTACCTGCTTTTTGCCTCTCCCCCTATCCTCCAGGTTTTTTTACTTCACTGCAGAGCGATTAGAGAGAGAGAGAGACTTTCTCTGTTACTGTCTGGAGGCTGCTGTGCCTCTGTTGTTCTCTCACTCACCTGCCCAGTAACCGTTCAGGGAGTTGTTGTCATGTTGTGGCCCCTCTGGTCTGTGCAATTGCACAAACCAATCAGCAGTCAATCGCTGGACAAAGTTTGCTCTGTACTCATCTGTGATGTCATTGCATCTTAGATAGCCGCACTGCTTTAGCAAATCCACACTGAAATACAGTTCAGAGTGAGTTCCAATAGCTTCTTTTTTGTTTGTTTAATTTTCAGCAACTGCTTCCATGGCCCCTGCGTTAAAACAATCCTTTTCCCATTTTGGTCCACAGTCCAAAATAAAAATTGTGACCTGTACAGCCAGAGACTGAGCATAATAAATCTCTACAAAGCCAGGACTGAACAAAAGGCTTCACAATGACACTTTTGCAACTTATAAGCAAATCGGTCACCAGTTGAGGCAAGTCAATTGTAAACGGACTGAGCATGTGCTGGTTGTTTTCCAAGAGGCCACGGCTTGTGCTAGTTGATCAAACCAATAAAACTTGGAGACATTTGGCCTTTTGGAAACTAAACATCCCTGAGTTATGAAATATAATTACCATTGGCCTGGTGTCTGTTGGACCAGTTGGGCCATGTATGAAGGCAAAATAGTTGCCTCCTTTTCCTCAACTGCATATGTTTTGGTTGGGGTATTGATGGTGGGAGGGCTTACCATTTTCGATGTTGGATGGCTTCAGAGCCCAAAGTCTGGGAAAGTGGTAAAAGCTGACACAAGGAAGGCAGTGTCCTAATGATACTCTTCAGTACTGTTAATCCAGAGAGCTAGGTACTGGGTGGCAGATGGTGGAATTTGATTTCAGTCAAAGAATCTGGAATTCAGAGTCTAATGATAACCATAAAACCATTGTTGATTGGGAGGAAAGAAAAAAATCTGGATCACTAATGCTGTTTAGGGTAGGAAACTACCATCCTTACCTTGTCTAGCCTGTGTGTAATTTCAGAACCAGAGCAGTGTGGTTGACTCTTAACTGCCCTCTGGGTAACTGGGGGTGTGCAGTCAATTCAGCCAATCTGTGACACCCACATCTTGTGAATGAATTTTACAAGATAGCAATGGCTTATTGTATCATCTGCCTTATTGACCCCCTCCAAAAAAAAATTCAGTTTTCCACCGACGAGCCCCCAAAGGCTCAACTGGACACTGCATGCCTAGAACTCATGAGGCTCCTTCACCTTCTTCCAGACCTGTGATGTTGACTGCCCAGGACTGTGAAAGCAGAGACCTAGATAATGCTCTGGGGATCCAGGTTAGAATCCTGCTGCAGCAGATCATGGAATTGAAATTCAATAACTACCTGGAATTAAGAATCTAATGATGACCGTGAATCCATTGTCGATTGTCAGAAAAACCCATCTGGTTCACTAATGTCCTGTAGGGAAGGAAACTGTCATCCTTACCTGGTCTGGCTGACATGTGACTCTCAGCACTGTGGTTGACTTATAACTACCCTCTGGGCAATTAGGGACGGGCACTAAATGCTCCCTAGCTAGCGACGCCCTCATCCTGTAAATGAATAAAGGAAAAACAAAATCTCAGATGTCTAGCATTCAATTCTTTTAATTGACAGACCGGGGACAAAAGAGATCAACTTAGACTGTAGACCCTTTACAAGCCAAATGGAGCCTGAAATTTTATTGATATAGTGCTATTTGGCAGCTCCCAAATTGAAAATTAACTCACTTTACTGCTGAATCACCTTGCATGTATCAGACTGTACTTCAGATGGAGCTATTTAAGATGAGGTTGAGTTGTTGGGTGTGAAGGAAGGAGTGAGAGCAGTTAGCAGTACAGTCATTTAGTGGGAATACAGACAAAATTGCTGCCTTTCATCAGATTTGATGTCCAGATGTGATTGCCCAAGATGAGATGTAATGTTCCCCTGGCATGAAGACAAAGGAAGTAACCTTGGTGTTATTTATTTAATTTCTTCTTATTTCCCTTTTTCCCCAGTTGACTTTTCTCCTCTTTCCTCTACCTAGGGTTAGCTGCTGCTGCTGGTCTCCCCAATTCCATCAGAGAGCCAGAATTGGAAAACAGGTAGGAGACAGGCCCTGCCCTGCCTCTCCAGTCTTCCCACTCCCCAACCCTTGAGCAGTTTCCAACCAGTTCCCCTTAAATACAGCACAGTGATAGAACCTTTCCTCCTGAGGGTGTTGGAGATTATCTGTTGTCCGATAGTGTTCGGCTTAGGGAGATTTTGGGGTACTGAACTTGGGAGTTGGTGAGGGACGGTATGTAACAATGGTTGGAGTCATTCCCTAGTCTGACCCTGATGAGAGGTTTGGTTCCAAATGTCGTGGTGGTGAAGTGGGGCATTATTTCAGGGTATGTTTGGGATAGTGGATGGCTTATTCCGGGGATGTGACCACACGTGAGATAACAGGGACGCCATTAATTGGAGACAGAATGCTGACGTGGGGCTTACACCATGAGTGTGGGGTAACATGGGGCTTAGACTGGAGACATGGAGGATTGGGGGCTTGGATGTGAGTATTATGAAGGGATTGGACCCGGGATGTGGGTTAGACTGGGGGAGTGACACTACTGGGTGGTGAACTTTGTTTTTGGTGCATTTCGATGGGAATTGATGGGCGTCATTACAGAGTTCTGCGATCATGAGTGCAGTGGGTGTTGTTCCTAGCTTTGACTAATGCCTCCTACTTTTATAGTGAGGAAGAGGAACCAGAGTTGGTGGAGACTGACGATGACATCCCATTCCACGATGATCCCAAAGATGAAATGTATGAGCCGTCACCACACAGGTAACCAGAGAAGGCGTTGGAGGGCAAAGCAAAACCCTTTAGACAACTCAGCCAGTTCCACCCATCCTGCTCTTTCTGTCTTTTGGTCTTGAATCTCAATGCTCCCTTCCAACATTCCCACAACTGAGGGTCTTGATTGGTCTGTTCCTCTCTACCTTTTCTCCCCTTGCCCAATTTCCTACCCCAGCACACTTCTATCCAGTCCCTCCCTCCAGTCTCAGCTGCAAACTTGACACTCTGATCTCTATGCTGCCCCTTCTGCCCCCATCCCTGATGTCATCCCTTCCTCTCCTCTGCCTGTCTTTCTGCCAACCTTGCCTCCACTACTGCCCAGTTTAGCAGCTGTTCTGCCTTCTGTTAACAGCCTCCCTTCTATCTCTCCTTTTTTAAATGTTTTTGTAATGGATCAGAGCAAACCCCCTCAAAGCATATCAAGGACATAACCTACACCTTAACTTCTATCTTATTTAAAGGCAAGTGTAAGGCACTGTGCTCCAGATGTAATTTGATTGGTCAAACTACTAGGCTTTAAGCAAACGCATTTTATTCTTGCTACAGTTAAAACAAAAACAAAAGATAAAGGAATTGGCATAACTTTAATTCTGAAAAGATTTAACAAAATAAGTGTGGAGCTGGAGATACACACCCAAAATGTCAACTTTCCTGCTCCTCTGATGCTTCCTGGCCTGTGTTTCTCCAGCTCCATGCTGTGTTATCTCTGACTCCAGCATTGGCAGTTCTTACTATCTCTTAACAAAATAATAGATTATTTAACAAGTACTCACCAATATTCCAATATAGGAGCATCCCACGAACACACCCTCGGCAAAGATAAATTTAGCAAAATAGATTTCCTTCACTTGTTATCTTCTCCAGGCTAAGAGAAAGGAAAAGTAGAAAGAATGAATCTAGCAGCAGAGACAGAACTTAAGCTTTTTGCAGCAGCTGCAACTCCAAAAGCCCAACTTCAACAGCTGAAAGCAAAACCTGAAACCCTGGGTCCTGTGTGAGCCTGACTCCACCCACTAGTGCTTCTTCTATCTAATTTTAAAAATCCTGAAGCTGTTTACTCTGCTTTCCATGGAGCAGACACTCGGCACTAAGTTTACAACACTCGAGTTCAAGAGAAACAGGACAGAACAAATCCCTGTTAAAGGCACATCTCGTTGCATTTTCCTCCTGTTTCTCTTTACCACATCCACATCTTTCCCCTCTCCTTGGTCACTGCACAATGGTTTTATCATGTTGGCAGTGTTCATGGACTGTGGACCTTCAAGCGCTAACTCTCTTTCAGAGCTCTAATGTCTAATTTGTTCCAATTCTCAGGGAGCGTGGGAAGCCGAGGCGGAAACCACGTAAAGAGAAGGAGAAACTGGAGACGGTGGAGCAGGTGGAGACTCCTAAGAGGTAAAGGTTAGCCACCAATGCCCCCATCGACTGAACAGCATTACCATCTATTGCCCTCTGAGTGACCCCAGTTCCTACACCTGGTTCCAGTGACGCTGCACCCCCCACTTTTTCATGTAACCTTCCTCATCCCCATTCCATTCACACATCAACTGAATGTGCAGACATCAGGAACAATTGTTTGCTGATGAAAGGAAGCAAAATCAGACAAGTGGAGAGTGCATTCACAAGTTGGCAAAGGCAAAGAGTTGATCAAGCAGTTGTGGGAATATGTGGAGCACGCAACTATGCACATGCAGCAACGTTGAAAGAAAAACAAAGAAAATAGATGCCAAACCTTTGCAAACCCTTCAGCTCTTGACTGGGTATTGTCGCACTGTGGGCCGTATGTATGACTTGTCAAGACTGACGTACCCACCCACCACCCCACCCCCACCCCCCACACACAGATTTTATCTGCCATCAGGGGCCTCTTGCGCTATAGTCCCTGTAACATAGCTACCCAGACGCACATGCATGCACCCTTGGTCGATGTTAGTCAAGCCCTGGTGAGGCTACGAAACAAAGTTTGCATAGAGGATGTTTGGGCTTGAGTTAGGTGGAGATTCTGGACTAATTTTTCGAGGGGAGGCAATGGTATTATCACTAGATTAATAATCCAGAGACTCTGGGGACCTGGGTTCGAATCTCACTCCGGTACAGGGTGGAATTTGAATTCAGTAAAAATGTAGAATGAAGGTTCTAGTGGTGACCATTGTTAATTGCTTTCTAAAACAAAAAGCCAACTGCTTCACTTGTGTCCTTCAAGGTGAAATCCTTTAGGGAAATTTGTCATCTTTGCCTGATCTGGCCACACGTGGCTCCAGGCCCACATTGATGCCCGCATTCCATGAATAAATAAAAAAGAGCTCAGAGGGTTAAAATGGTCTGGTGGCTTGCCCTTGTGCCAGCTGAAGCAGTTTCTCTTTAGTTATCAATGCTTAGTTAAAAAAATTAAAGTTTTAACCTTCTCTGCTGGAGGGCTTCTCCACATACCATGAGTTCCCCATTTCCGATGATTATCTGATAAATTTTCACACCTTCTGAAAGTGGTCCCCAGGATTGTGCACTATACTGCAGTAGAGGCATGATGGTTGAATCCTATGGCTTTGTTCAAACTGTCTGTTTACAAACTGCTCAAGGACACCACTTGTCACAACCTGCCAATTTGGGAGAAAAACCCCTTAGTGGCTCTCTATTATCTGCAACGAGTTCTCTGTCCCAAGCTTCTGTATATAAGGCTGCAAAATTATATCTATTCTTGAGGTGAGCCCAAAACCAACTATCTTTTCTAGGACCTGCTGATTAACTGTTCACTCTTGTCTACATTGTTATCATTTACGAGTGACACGGTGGCTCAGTGATTAGCACTGCTGCTTCCCAGCACCAGGGAACCAGATTCAAATCTGCCCACGGTTGACTGTCTGTGTGGAATTCCACACGTTCTTGCTGTGTCTGTGTGGGTTTTCTCCCACAGTCCGAAGATGTGCAGGTTAGGTGACTGGCTGTGCTAAATTGTTCGTAGTGCCCAAAGATGTGCAGGCTAGGTGAATTAGCCATGGGAAATGCAGGGTTACAGGGACCTGGTAGGGATGTGGGTCTGGGTGGGATGCATTTTGGTGGGTCAGTGTGGACTCGATGGGCTGATTGACCTGTTTCCACGCTGCAGGCGTTCTGTGATTCAATGATGCGTTCTTCATCCTTTATTTCCTGCATATTCCTAGTGTTCTTCTCCACTGACTTTACTGCTCGGATCTTTAGCACCCAAACATTTTCTCTCATTCCAATTCTAAGTCTGTATAGTGCTGTGGCAATAACTGTGACTTCATAACGTTTGCACTTGATAGAAATGGGAGATGTTAACGGTGCAGAGATTGGCAAAGATGAGTTTGTTGTCCTTTGAGTCATGAAGTATTCCGGTAGTAAATGAGGCGAGCTGGTTTACTCTGGCAAGAGGCCCATAGGTTTTAAATAACTAGCAAAGAAAGTAGAGGAGAAAGTTTGCTGCATGATAAATTAAGGTCTAGAATGCAGTGGGAATCACTTGGAAAAGGACCAATTTGCAAGGTTGTAAGAAAAGTGAGCATGAATTGGATAGCAGCACCACTAATGTGTTGAATGAGCTCCTGTACTGTCAGATTGCAGTGATGTTATTTAGTTTGTGTGGCTGAAACCTTACCTTTTCACCTTGACAGGAGGCCACGAAGATCCAAAGAAGATAGAGGACCCCGTCCACCTAAAAAACGGTAAGTCTCTTGCCAGTCACTGGCAAATCACTGGGTTACGTGCGTTTTAACATGGGGGAGCTGTAAGACTGGTTGAAGTTTATCACAGACCTGGTTATTCACGTTACAATGGCTGGGAAGTTTGTGGAGAATGCAGAAGGAAGAGAAGTCTAGGTCTTTCTGTCAGAAGCTGCAGGGCGGAAATGAATGTCCTGATCTAACTGCTCTCTCCTCTGCCTCAGGAAGAAGCCTCCTATCCAGTATGTGCGCTGTGAGATGGAAGGTTGTGGAACCATCCTCGCCAATCCAAGGTATTTGCAGGTCAGTGCAAACTTCATCTGTTGGCCCATTTCATTCCTTTTATTTAAAGAAAACTTTCTTTCAGCTGTCTTCATCTGCAGAGGCTGAATGCCAACATCATTCTGACCTTGAGTAGAATGAAACTGTGCTGCTCTGATCGAGAATGTGAATAAGCTGAGAATCACCATTCTGATTTGTAGTAGGATTAGAGTGTGCAGCGTAACTGGGAATTAGAATTAGATTAAACTGTGCACTGGAAGTAAACTTGGATGTAGAACAGGATTAAAGTCCTCTGCGTCACCCAGGTCTAGACGAGTTAAAGTGCACACTCACTCTCATCGAGAATGAGGTTAAACTGCAAAGTCATGCATCTAGAAAAGGAGTAAACTGCGCGATTAAAAGCGAAGCATAGAATCATACAGTACAGCCCTTCAGCCCATCCTCTACCATCAAAGCTAAAGCAAATCTGCAGTAGGCCTGTAATGTTGAATATTAAGATTTCATGTGCCTGTCCAAATTCCTTTTTTAAACATTGTGAGGTTTCTCACCCCAGCTCCCCTTCCAGGCAGTCCAGATCCCCACCAACCTCGGTGGAAAAAAAAAATTCTCAAGTCCCCTCTGAACCTCCTGCCATTCACCTTAAAATTATGCCCCTTGTTACTTACCCTTCAACTAAGAGGAACAGCTGTTTCTATTCACCCTGTCCATTCCCCTCACAATCTTGTACATCTCTATCAGGTTCTCTGCTCCAAAGAAAATAACCCAAGCTTATCCAACACATCTTTGTAGCTGAAGGACAAGCTGAAGCTCACATTGCTCAAGCACATTGGAAGTATTAGCAAGCCTGACAGCATTTGTGGAGAGTGAGACAGAGTCTTTGTTTCAGGCGAAGGACTTCTGTTCAGAGCTTGTTGAGGAAAGAGAAAACTAACGGGCAATATTTCACTGAGTGCTAAACCAAAACCTAAGTCAACAAATATGAATTAACAGGTGAATTACAATCAACGTGTTATAAATCTCACATTAAGAAGCAGGATACATCAGTATGCGTTGCAAGATTGAATCGAGGAATTTGTAAGACAGTCCACTCAGTCTGTTGGACTGATTTAGCCATAAACTTGATCAAAGCTGTGGATTGACATTGGTGATTTTTAAAGGCTTTGTTTTACACAAACAGTGTATCATTTCCATAAAATGTAAAAGGCAGATAATCTAGAGTAATTAATTTACAAATTAAATCCCAAAGGATAGTGATGACTTAACTTTGTTGTGTTGCTGCTGCTGCAGCATATGGGAGCTGCTGGACACCAATGTGATCGAAAGTGATCACAACTGGAGTAAGTATTTGCAGCTTGATGAACTTCACATCCAAGTTGAGGGCTAAGCTGCAGATATCACCCTGCATCACAGATGCAGAAAGTTACCTCGATACTTTGCTTCAGAGGGCAGTCCCACCATCACATGAGGTAATTCAAAATTGGCCTGTGATCAGGGCCAGGAGGATGTGACTGCAGGTGAGGCAGGCTTGAGGACCCAGGGTGATAGTTGAAGAGCCCTGGCCCCTGCAATTGTCCTACAATTGCTTTCATCGCTCAGAGCATTGAGTGTAGGAGCTGGGATGTCATAATGCAGCTGCATAAGACACTGGTGAGGCCAGTTTTAGCATACTCTGTTCAATTCTGGCCACCCTGCTATTGGAAAGGTGTTACTGAACTAGAAAGGATGAAGAAAAAGTTTAGAAAGGTATTGGCGGGACTGAGGGTTTGAGTTATAAGGAGAGGCTGGGACTTTTTTTCCTTGGAGTGTTGGAGACTGAGGGGTGACCTTATAGAGATTTATAAAATCATGAGAGGCATGGATAAAGTGAATGACTAGTGTCTTTTGCCAAGGGTAGGGGAGTCCAAAACTAGAGGGCATAGGTTCAAGGTGAGAGGAAATATTTAAAAGGGCCCAAGGGGCAACTTTTTCACACAGGGTGGTGTGCGTATGGAATGAGCTGCCAGAAGAAGTGGTAGAGGCAGGCACAATTAGAACATTTTAAAAAACATTTGAATAGGCACATGGATAGGAAAGGTTCAAGGGCATATGGGCCAAACACAGGCAAATGGGGCTAGTTTAGTTTGGGAAACCTGGACAGCATGGACAAGCTGGGCTGCAGGGTCTGTTTCCATGTTCTATGACTCTATCCTTGCAAGCCTTGCCATTGAGAGTGGGGACAGCAGGGAGGATAAACAAACTTAGTGCAGTATCTTGGTTCAGGGAACCATGCAAGTGGGGAAAGGAAATAGCAATGTACTCGTGTTAGAGGACTGTATAATTTGCAGTGTAGATATTGTTCTCTGCAATTGTGAACGGGTGTCCCGAAGGTTGAGTTGACTGTCTGGCAGGAGGGTGCAGGAAGAGAGTGAGGGGGGAGGGTTCCGGTTGTCGTTGTCCACCTTGGTACCAATGACATCGATAGGGCTAGAAGGAAAGGAATTTGAAGAATCAGGAGCTAAGTTAAAAATTCGAAATAATCTCTGGGTGACTAGTTGAGCAATGGGAAAACTCGTATGATAAATAAAATCCCATGTAGGTGTACGGAAGAAGTAAATAGGGGTAGAACACACTGTTAGAAATAATCTATAGATCCCCTATCAATTGCTGTACAGAGAATATATTGGGAAAATAAAACAAAGACATCATAATGTCAATTAAAAAAGGCAGATTGGTAGAGGTAGCCACAACAATGAATCAATGGAGTGGATTTGAGACTGTTTCCCTGAACAATATGTTGTGGATCCAACCAGGGATCGGATTGTTTCAGATTGTTGTGTGATGAGGCAGGTTTAATAAATGAAGTCAGACCAAAAGATCCCCTGGAAAGCAGTGGCCATAACATGATAGAATATAGTATTTAGTTTGAGAGGGAGAAACTTTTTTTGCTGGAAACAACTGTGCTAAGCTTAAATACAGGTAACTATAAAAGGACGAGGGCAGGGGTCGCTGGAGTGGATTTGGAAAGGAGATAAACAGCAAAGACTTCGAGGAACAATAACATGCTTAAGAAATTAGTTCACAGCTCACAGCAAAGATGTATCCCAGTGAGGAAGAAGGATTCTAGGAAGGGGATAACCCAACTGCAGTTAATCAGGGGAGTTAAGGATAGCATCAAATTGAAAGAGAAAACATGAAATGTGGGAAAGCTTTAAGAAGCAGCAAAAAGATGACCCAAAAGAATAATCAGGGCGAAGATGAAGTTTGAGGGTAAACTTACAAGTAAAATCAAGACAGGCAGCCGTTTGGAGTGAATATAGGCCTCTTAAAGAAGGTTGGGGAAATAATGATGGGGTGCAGGAAATGGCAGAGGAGTTGAGTAAATACTGTGCTTCATAATGGGAGGCATTCCAAAGTTTCTCAATAATCAACAGGCAGAAGAAAGACAGGAAATAAGTAGAATAGCTACGACTAGAGAAAAAGTGCTGTGGAAACTAATGGGGCCAAAAGCTGGTAAGTCCCCTGGACCTGATAGATATGTTTTTATTATATTGAAGGACATAGCTACCGAGATAGTCGATGCACTGGTATTAATCTTTGAGGAATCCATAGAATCTGGGAAAGTCCCAGAGGACTGGAAAGTTGCCAATGTAGCACTTTTGTTCAAAAAGTGAAGGAGGCAAAAACAGGTAACTATGGGTCAGTTAGCTTAATGTCTGTTATCGGGGAAAATGTTAAGACGTCAAGGATGCAGTATTACAATATGCATGGTATGATCAAGCAAAATCAGTAATGGCTTCTTGCAAGAGAAATAATGTGTGACAAATTTATTAGAATTCTTTAACATTATAACCAGCAGGATGGATAAAGGGAAGCAGTGGATGCAATGTGTTTGGATTTTCAGGAGGCATTTAATAAGCTTCCACATCTTTGACGACTTCGTAAGTAAGTGTGTTGGATGTAGTACATTAGCATGGAGAGAGGATTGGTTTAACAATGGAAGACATAGAGTTGGGATAAGCAGGGTAGGGAATCTCAGGATTGGGCATCTCAGATTAGCAACCCATAACTAGTGGAGTGCCACAGTTATTTACAATATAAATGACTTGAATGAGAAAAGTGAATGTATTGTTCCTGAGTTTATGGATAGGTCGGAAGGCCAGTGATGATGATACAAAAATAGATGTAGACAGGTTAAATGAGTCGGCAAAAACTTGACAGATGGAATATAATGTGGGGAAATTTGCATTTATGCACTTTGGCAAAGTCACCCACCACTCCTGTAAAATTGGAGTGCTGGTCTTTTTATCTGATATCAAAGTGTTTGTTTCCCAGAAATCTGAAGGTTCACTTTCCCTTCTTGCTTTAAGGTTTGATTCGAAAGAAATAAAAGCTTTGAAACCAGGATCAGTGTCCCTACCTGAGTATTAGACAAGTCGTCTGTTCAGACTGTGGCTCAACACACACACCCCTGCCCTGCAACTGGTCCTACAAAGTGGGGATCCCATCACATTAAGAGCAGGGTTAAACTGCATGCTGTAAGATTGGTTTAGAATATGGAACAGTGGTGCATTTTTTTGCTGCTGAATATGAGTTAATCTAGTCTCTCATGAATGTGGTTGCACATGTCCATCCTTCTGTGATGGTAACTTACTGTTGGACTGCCGTTTCCTTGTGTGTCAGTTAGTTGTTAACTAGTTGTTCCTTGTACAATTGTGAGTTGGGTTCTGCATATCTCCTCCTTGCGTGACAGTGAATTACTGTTACAGCAGTCCCCTCTGTGGGATGTTGCGTTGAGGTTTCAATTATTTCCTTGTTGATAATTTTGTCATATTAACCTTGTCCCTCTGGATGGTGACGACATATGTTGACTTCTTTCAGCATCACATGAGGTACCAACACATGCTGAAGAAGAAGTACGTCTGTCCACACCCGTCCTGTGGCCGCCTCTTCCGACTTCAGAAGCAGCTGCTACGGCACACGAAGCACCACTCGGGTACGTGCTAGCAATCGGGGAGTGGGCAGCGGCTAGTTTGGGGGACGCAGTTTGTTGCCAGGAACTAGGGCCTGCAGTCTGTATCACTCTGTTTTGCATTCTGCCTTAGACTCTGTATTCAGGTCCATATTGTGGATCCTGTGTTATTCAGAAGTTACGTGACCAAGGCAAAAGTTGCACAGACTTCTTGAATTATACCTCATTAAGCACAACACATTCTAACCCACGCCAACATTTAAATCTTCAAGTGTACCAATATCTCATTTCAGTATAAGGAAATGAGGTGGAAGGGAACTTAATGATCAATGAGCTCAGTGCTAAAGTCAGCATCATAGGATTACGTGACTGAACTAGCTGTTCAGTGGACTAATCACCTGGATACCTTGCAACTGAACAAAGTTCTTAATTTCTGTTCCATCAATAAATTTCGGATAAAAATATAGGATCAGTATTGGTGACAATGGAAATAAATAAAAGCATGTTTATCTCATTAATGTGCAGGGAGAGTATCTGCTGTCTTTACTCAGTCAGATGTATGTGAGATTCCGCAGCACAGCAGTGTTGTGCCCTTAGCTGCTCTCTGAAATAGGCCTGCAAGCTACTCAGTTGTACAATCACTGCAGGAGACTATACCGCTCACCATTAAGCTAAGTACTGGTATCAGAACAGAGAAAGGAGTATCTAGCTTCAGCGATTCTTTAAAGTTGCCTTCACATTTCTGGGGTTTTGTATCAAACTCTGGAGAAGTGGCCTACAGATCATCCATGCTCACTGAAATATGCCTTACAGTCAAATCCTAGGCGCTGCATCACCATCCCTGGGTATGTGCTCACAGCAGACCTATGTAGCCTCATTAAATCAGCTAAAACACGGGCAAGGAAATCATCTACTCTTCTCCCACCCTCCCTCCTGTCGTTGGCTTAGCTCTCCCCCATGTTGAACACTACTTGGAGGAGGAGTTGAGGGTAGCAGGAACACACCATGTATTCTGAGAGTGGGTGCTTCAGTTTAAGAGTGGCTTGGTGGCACCATTACTGGGTGACCTTGCTGAATCCCAAAGGATGTATCTGCTGCACTGGATCATGAGAGAGCCAAAATGAGGGGAAACCCAGATGAACTTGTCACAACCAAACTACATTTTGCAGATACTCTGTCAATGACGGAATAGTTAGGAGCAACCTCTGCCTGGTTCTTGTCGACAGGAAGTCCTGTCTTTACACTGAGGGCGCTATCCTTCATATTGTGTGGCACTGCCAACATGGTAAATAGGACATAACCGATCTTGCATCTCAAAGCTCAGCGGCCACAGTGAATTATGACCAGCAGAATTGTTTCCACCACAATCTATACCTTTATTGCTTTGGCACATCTCTCATTCCATCATTACCATGAAACAAGGGGAGCAATCCTAATTCAGTGAAGTGTGTGAAGATCCATCTGCGGCATCAAGCATGGTTTAAAATTGAGCTGCCAATCTGGTAAAAGTACACAACACAGGACCATGTGTGCCAGCTAAACAGCAGAAGCAACATTTCTTTCTCTCTCTGTCTCTCAATGGAGCGTGGGTGTTGCTGGCATTTGATTCATATCCCAAATTGCCCTTGTATTGAGTGGGTTGCTGGGCAGTTGAGAGTCAGTCACATTGCTGTGGATCTATAGCTACATGTAGGCCAGACCAGATAAGGATGACAGGTTTTCTTCCCTGAAGGCTGTTCCTGAACCAGATGGAGTTTGGCAGCAATCGATTATCTTTTCTTGGCCACCATCACTGAGCTTCTAATTTCAGATTTATCAATTCACTTTACATTCCACCACTTGCTGTGTTTTGAACCCATTTCCCTAGAGCGTTAGCTGAGTTACTAGCTCAGTGAATTAGTGACTACTCCACTATCTCTGCATGATAGCACGCTAAAGGCAGGCGAGTGGGCCTATAGCCAACAAATTGGTTCAGAACTTTCTAGCCCTGCCACATTGAGTCATGAGTGTTGGTAGAAAATTAAGTCATCCCCAAGCTCCCAATCCTCATTGGCAGAAGCCAGTACAAGTGCAACCATCATCAGCCAGAACAGCAGAGTGGATGATCCACCTTAACTCCTCCTAAAATCCTAATTGCCAAAGAAACCAGGCATCCTTTCTTGGATCTGAAGACCAAAACTAATGAGATCATATCGTTCCTTTATTCCGGAATACCATTTGCCCTTCCTGACTCCTCGCTGTAGCTACACATTCATTTTTTTGTCTCTCCCACTATAACAGCAAAATCCCTCTGAACACATTTAGTGGTTTCTCTCACCAGACTTGGGTGGACCTCCGCTGTCCTTTCTTTTTGGCCTGACCTCCGAGCCAATATTCCCACCCATCCTTGTTTCACCAGCTAACATGGAATGGAATTAGATGAGCCTCAGTGCTACCACTTCACCAATGACAATATTCAAACTTGAAAATGACATCTTTACATTGTTTGCCTCTGTACAACTAACAGCGATTCCATGTTGCTCCAAACATCTCACCTGATATTCTCTTTGTCCCCGTCTGTTCTTGATAATTCTGTTTGTGTCTGACAGATCAGCGGGATTATATCTGCGAGTATTGTGCCCGTGCCTTTAAGAGTTCTCATAATTTGGCCGTTCATAGAATGATCCACACAGGAGAGAAGCCTCTACAGTAAGTACCTAAGATTAATACACATATGAACTCCGCAGCTCAATTTCCCCCTCTCTCTTCAATCCTGCTGCCACCCTATCTTCACTCAGCCCTTTCATTTCCCATGCGCTCTCCTTACTCCCTCATTGGTTCCCCTCTGTCGCCCGTTGTCCTCCCTGCTTTGCACTTCCTTTCTTTTCCCCTGACCATCACTGTTTACCAGTCCCTGGTAACACCTTTGCTTTTTGGCTCTTCACCCTCCTCCCTAACTCTATGTCCAGCTTGTGGCAAACCACCCTGCCCCCCCCACCCTGCCGCCGCCACCACCACCACCACCATCCCTTGCCTTCCATGAAGTCACTGGTAAGGTCACATTTGGAGTACTGCATACAATTCTGCCTCCGCTACTATAGGAAGGATGTTATTAAGCTGGATAGGGTGCAAAAAAGATTTACAAGAATGTTACTGGAACTGGAGGGTTTGAGTTATAAGGAGGCTGGATAGGCTGGGACATCTTTTCCTGGAACAAAGGAGGCTTATAGGTGACCACCTAGAGGGTTCTAAAATCATATAATGAATAGCCAAAGTCCTGACCCACAGGGTGAGGGAGTCCAAAACTAGAGGGCATAAGTTCGAAGGTGGGAGGGGAAAGATTTAAGAGGAACCTGAGGCATAACTTGTACGCACAGACGGTGGTGTGTATATGGAACGGGCTACCAGAGGAAATGGTGGTTACAGTTACAACATTTAACAGATATTCAGACAGATACATGAATAGGAGGGTTTAGAGGGATATGGGTCAAACGCAGGCACTACTTCACATTTGGAAACATGGTGGGCATGGACAAGTTGGGCCGAAATGCCTGTTTCTGCGCTTTATGACTCTATCAGGCTGCCTGGCCCTCTCCCCTCCATTTCTCCTTGTATTGAGTGTATAATGATTTAATAGCCATATAATCTTCTGTCCCTCCCTCCAGGTGTGAGATCTGTGGCTTCACCTGCCGACAGAAGGCATCATTGAACTGGCACATGAAGAAACACGATGCAGATGCTAACTACCAGTTCTCCTGCAACATGTGTGGGAAGAAGTTTGAGAAAAAAGACAGCGTGGTGGCTCACAAGAGCAAAAGCCACCCGGAGCTGGTCATCGCCGAGGCTTTGGCGGAGAGTGCTGAGTGTACCGTCCTGGACCCTTGCAATGCACCCTGAGACAGACTCGTGCCATTCGGAACTTACCCACCCCTTCCCCTCGATGTCACGGGGGGAGAGAGAGTGAGTGAGAGAGAGAGAGGGGAAGGGGCGGGTGGCAGAGAGAGACAGAGGAGGAGGGAGACTCTCCTCAATTCAACTTAACCGGTGTACGCATGTGGAATGGCAGAGGGACATCTTCATTCAAACCCAGATACCCTCCCCTCTTCTGCCCCAACCGTTGCTCGGATTGCATCCCCAGCCACGTCCGCCATACCCCTCCAAGGAGAGACCTCCAGCTGTATCTCAGTCCCTGTTGGAGCCCCCTCCCCTGCCCATCCGCCACAAAGGGTCCGGATTGTTCTCCTAGGCAAGGTGCAGCAGAGATGCGTGGACCGGGGTTGAAGTTTACCACTGCATTCGCAAGGCAGCATATCAACTGCCTGAAGCATCACTAGAGCGAATCTGGAGCATGTCGTTTGCGTGTGTGTGTGTATGTATATGTGTGTGTGCGCGCGCGCATGTGTATCTTGTATTATCATGGAGATGAGGCATCTTGCGTAGGATCTGAATTGGATTGGCTTACAATTAGAGAGAGGGCAAATCAAATAGGTGTTCTTGTTACTGTTTGTCAGGTGATCCCTCTTGGTGAGAGGAAGAGTAGAAATGAGCCAAGGGTTCTGCTTCTGATCACTGGGTTGGACAGAGACCAGAAATAGGCCAGGGTTCATCCTCCTGATCACTGTCCCTGAGAGAGAGGGAGGGGAAATCAGCCACAGTATATGTTTGAGGGGGTCTTAGGGTTCCGAATGTTTCCCTTTCCAGTGAAGGGGAAGGTTGAAGAAGAAGCAGCTCCAGCACAGCAAGGGAAAGAAACATTCCACTGATCCGCTAGTACTGTTGATTCAGTGCCGCGTGAAATGCCTGGGATCCGAGGGCCCTCAGACGCTGGCGTTGGGCGCACGTGGAGAGGATTGAAAGACTGGCATCCCATTGTTGCTCCCTGGGCAGAAACAGTGATGTTGCCACTGAGATAACGAGAGAGAGAGAGCACTTAGACAAATGTGTGTTGTGGGTAGGGGGGATCTGAGTGTGTGTATATGCCAAGTGAAGGTGTCTGAGTGTGGAGTGAGCCCCAATGCAAGTGGGGTCTTGGTTTGTGCACGTGTTCACGTAAATATGTGCTGCACAAGAGGTGAGCTAGTACACGACAGGGTGAAAGCACCGGTGAATGCTGGATTGAGAATTTGGTGAGCCCTTACGCTTGGGTGGGGTGGGTAACAAGCTCATGCCGAATGGTTATTGAGAATTGCTGCATAAAGTTGTGTAATTGAGAGAATGTGTAAAGGTGTGTCTGAGCGTGTATATGTAAAAGCGCGCACGAGGGTGAGCCTGTACGTGCATGTTTGTATGTGTGTGTTATGGGTCGGAGGTCTCTCTGCTCTGATGGTGTAAATACCTGTAGTGAAGTGGGCCTGTAGTCAGACCCTGTTGGAAGGAGTTGATGGCTGTAGTTGGATTTATACTGAGCTGGAAATCACGCGGGGGTTTTTGTTACAGTTTCACGTTATGGATTGCATAGACGAAACCATTAGACTCCACTGTGAGCACTGTTTAGTAGAAATAAATCTGTATAATTAACTATTAAAAAAGAGCAATAAACACAGTATTTTCTTCCATTGTGTTGTCTTTTTACGGATTGTGCTGCATGTGTGTCCCTTGTTTTTCTGTACTCTTTGCACATGTATATTCTATTTGTGTGCTGGGTGTCTGTGTCCTTTAGATCACTGATTTTATATAGTCTACATGCCTGCATTCCTGATGTCCAACAGTATTCACCACATCTGTATTCTTCTCTGCTTGTGCTTTTCACAATGTTTCTGTCTGCCTGTACTCACCATAAGGGATTATTTCATGTACCGTATGCATGTCTGTATTCCCTATTTGCTGGAATTTTTTTGTGCACGCTGTTAGTCTTGTTTCTGTATGTGGCCATGTTCTGTCCCTAACTGTGGTCCCTGTGTTTGTCCTCATTGCCTGTACTCTGCACCTATATTTCCATTGCTGGCTTGTACTGTCTGCTTATCTATTCATTGTGTCTACCTGTACCCTTGTACATATTTTGTCTATCTCTGCTCTCTGCCTGTATTTGTATCTCCTACTGTCTGCATTTGAGTGTCTGCTTGTGCATTCTGCATGTATGTGTTCTTTGAGTCTGTATTTTCTGCATGCGTCTGTCCCTTGTATACACTTCTTATACATTTGTCACTATTGTCTGTCTGCCTGCCAGTTCTCCCTTCAGGTCATAATTTTGTCTGCCTGTAGTGAGTCTGCATTTCCTACCTTCCTGCTTCTACTCCCCGTCTATGTTCCAGGTGCTGTATTCTCTGCACATGTCTAGATTGCCTATGCCCCTGCCTGTAGTCACTTTGCTTTGCCACTCTCATGCCTCTGTTCCAGGTCTCTGTTCTTTGTAAGTACCTATTCTGTGTGTTCATACTTTTTGCATGTAATTTCCATGTTAGGAATGTATCTCTCTCAGTATATAGGCCAAGGCTGCCGTGCTGTCTGTGCTTACATTTGTAGCTGAAAGATGTCGGCAGGTGTTTTTAGGTTTTGCTTTCGAACGTTGGATAATGGGACACATGGCTGGAGGATGACACAGCTGAACTCAGCCTTCCTGGTCCACCACCTCTGTGAGGTTCTCACTTCTACTGCTTGCAAGTTCTTCTGGTCTGTAGCCCTTGTCTCCAGAACCCTTGATTCACTTAGTACAAGGCACTGTCAAAGTGCCACTCTGTTTAACCCAGGTTGGCTTATGCAGCTTAAATAAGAGGCAAATGAGAAACCGAGCAGGTTTGCATCCTGAGTGTTTAAGGATATCTTATTTAATAATGCAAGTTTGGATCTACAGCAGGACCAGTAACCTATTGGTAGATGCATATCTAACTGCTTTTAAACTTGCAATTGTTAAATCAATTTTGAAGAAAACTACTGAATTCTAAAATTTAATTGAGCATGTATGTGGATTTTTTAAAATGGATTTCAAAATTGCATCTTAATCGCTACAACTTTCCAGATGAGATGTTAAACTAGGGCCCATGCTGCTCTTTCAGACGAACGTAAAAATCCCATAGTGTTATTTCAAACTGGAAGAATTCTCTAATTGCCTTACCCAATGTAAGTCCTGCTTGTGGATTGTCTTACCCAACGTAAGTACTGTTTGTGGAGTCATACTGTGCATAAAGTGGCTGTGGTCTTTCCTACATTATGACAGTAGACTAAATTCCTGTTTTTTTTTTATTTTTGGGCATTCCTGGGATCATGGCGATGTTAAAACACAAACTTATTGTTTCTACTAATACAACACAAGAGAGCTGGAGAAACAGTTAATGTTTCAAATCAGTTAGACTCCTTTTAACAAGAATAACACAACTGCAGATGCTGGAAATCTGAAACAAGATCAGATTTGCTGGAGAAACTCAGCAGGTCAGGCAGCATCTGTGGGGAGAAAACAATATTAATGTTTTGAGTCAACGTGAGCCTTCTTCAGAACTAATCACATCTTGGGAGAGAAAAGTGGTATTTACCTAGATGACAAGGGGTGGGAGGTGGAAAGGAATGAGCTGATAGGTGGGGATGGAGCCAGAGAGAGGAACAAAAGGATCATTAATAATAAGCGTAGGTAGGTGATAATGGGGACTGTGTATGGGTGAAAATGGGCTGGCTGTGCTTAAAGCAGCCCGTGTCATGACAAGACTTGGTGTGTGGGAAGGGTAACAGGTTTGGAAGGTGGTATTTGGTCTCTAAAACTTTACTGAGTCCTGAAGGACTCCAGGGTCCCCAAGCAGAAAATCAGATGCTGTTCTTCCAGCCTGCAATGAGCCTCAGTGGAGCACTGCAACAGGCCTGAAACAGACATGATAGCACGGGAACTTGGTTTGTTGAAGTGGCAGGCAACTGGAAGCTCAGGGTCATTTTTAGACAGAACTTTGGAAAGTCATAGAGTCATAAGGCACCAAAACAGATCCTCTGGTCCCAACTAAACAAGTCCCACCTGTCTGCACTTGGCCCACATCCCTCCAAACCTCTTATGCATGTACTTTTATTATGTAAATGTCTTTTAAACATCTTAACTATACCTGCATCCACCACTTCCTCTGGAAGTTCATTCCACACACAAACCACTGTGTGTAAAACTGCTGTCCTTGTCTTTTTTTTTTACACCTTTCTCCTCACCTTAAAAAAAACATGCCCCTGAGTTTTGAAATCCCCAGCACTAGAGAAAAGACACCTGCCATTCACCTTATCTATACCCTCAAGATTTTATAAACCTCTATAAGGTTACCCCTCAACCTCTTATGCTCCAGTGGAAAAAATGTCCTAGCCTCTCCTTATGACTCAAACCATCCAGTCCTGGTAACATCCTTGCAAATCTTTTTCTGAACCCACTTTAGCTTAATGATATCCTTCCTATAACAGGCTAACCAAAACTAGGTAGAATACTCCAGAAGAGGTCTCACCAACACTCAGTACAACCTCAGCTTGACATCCCAACTCCCATACTCAAAGATCTAAGCAACGAAGGCAATTGTGCTAAACGCCTTCTTAACCACCCTGTCAACATGTGATGCAAACCTCAAAGAATTACATGCATCAACCCCTAGGTCTCTATTTTAAAGCAATACCCAAGGTCCTACTTTTAATTGAATAAGTCCTGCTCGCTTGTTTTATCAAAATGCAATACCCTTCATTTGTCTTCAGAACATCATCTTTTTCTTATCCTGTGCCTACTTCTGAAACTGTCTCCCTCACTGTGGTTTCTAATTAGCTCTGCCCTTTGTGTTTCTGTACATATGTGTCTGTCTCTTTACCTTGTGCACACGTTACACTGCATTGTCTCGGCCTGTGCGACTGCATCTGTATCAAGGACAACCCAGTATGGAGCTGGAGGAACACAGCAGGCCAGACAGCATCAGAGGAACATTTTCTGAAGTGTTCCAACCCGAAACATCAACTTTCCTGCTCCTCTGATGTTGTCTGGCCTGCTGTGTTCCTCCAGCTCCCAGGTGTTGTCTCTGATTCCAGCATCTGCAGTTCTTGCTATCTCTAAATGAATTATAACCCCACATCTGTATCAACTATGGTATATCTCTCCCTCTTGTTTTCTTGAATTATTTCCATTGCTGAAACTGACACAAACCCATCAGGCTTGTCTTTCTCAGAACTTCTTGTAACTGTAATTCCTTATGAAAGGAATACCACAAGCAAACAGAAGATGCATTAAGTTCTGAACAGGAGTCATACCACATTCGAAACATAGCTCTTTTTTCTCTTTCTGTCTCTGCAAATGCTACCAGACTTGCTGAGCTTCTCCAACTTTGTTTCAGATTTCCAGCATCTGCAGTATTTTATTTTCACTGCATATCACAATTGATTCCTTGTGTACTGGCTACTCCCTGTATTCTAACTAATTTCTGTTTTCAGTTCACTTCTCTCGATTTTTTTTTTCCCCCCCTCTCTCTCCTGTTCTAGTACTCTAGTCTGCATAACAATACTGAAATAACTGTAGCTCCATAAATACCTGCCTCACAACAGGGAAGAGGGATTTTTAATTTAGAGGTTCGAATTGTTCTCCGAGCAGAGAATGTTAAGGGGGAGGCTGAATCAATGCATTTTCTGCCTGTAGTTATTATTGAGGGTGACTGTTGCTGGCAAGGCCAGCTTTTGTTGCCCACCCTAGCTGGCCTTAAGTTCATGCTGAATCATTTTCTCCAAACCCCGCAGTCCCTATTACGTAGATACATCGATACTGCTGGAAAGATGGGAGGTCTAAGATTTTGGCCCATAACACGAAAAGAATGGAAACTATAATTTCAAATCTGGATGGTTTGTGACTTGGAGGGGAACTTGCAGGTAGTAGTATACCCCATAAATCTACTATCTTTAGGTGCTGTCTAGTTATTGGGCTTCTTGCCAGCGAAAATTTATCCTAATTTCTCCTGATCAAACTCCATCATAATTTTGGACACCTTTATTGAATCTTTCTACTATTAAATAACTCCAGATGCTACAATTTCTTCTCTTTGATACAGCCTCACATTTCCCTTTGACCTAAATTTTTGCATTGTCCAATTTGTCATGAACACTGGACATCAAAGCACTTTTGTTTTTAAAAATAATAATGAGAGGTATTCTGGAAAGGAGGATCAGCTCAAAGATGCCCATGTGATCTGGTTGCAATGGGGACGGGAAGAGGAGTGAGACTGAGATCTATTGACAGCAAAAGCAACAGTCAGAACACCTTTACACAGCATCTCAGACAAAGACTTGCTTTTTTTTTTAGAAGCAGACAAATAATCTGCTTTGTGTTGTTGCCTTCGTCAGGACAATTTGTAAGATACCAATGTAAAGAGGGAAAACATTTTTCTACTGAATGAGAAGTGTGCACTGACTGGTTGGTGAGTTGACACTGTTGGAGATGTTACCATGGAGAATGCACCTGTTGGTTGACAATCGTCAACAGTTAACTGCCAAGTTTTGTTCAAATTCAGGCCAGAGATTGGTCAAGGCATTGCCTTGCAGAATAAACCAGCACCTGTTTTGTTCAGATGAACCAGGCACCATGTGTGTACATGTTTTCTCTTATGCTTATTCCTCAGATTAGTTTCTGAATTTA